CTGGATCGGATAAGAAGAGTCCCCCCGCTGCTGGATCAAACCCTGCGCCTCAGTCTGGGTCGGCCGCTACGCAGAATCCTATCTGGGCGGTTGAGTTCAGCAAAGATGGGAGGTATCTTGCTGTTGGTGGTCAGGACAGAGTCATCCGGGTGTGGGCCGTGATTGACAGCCCAGAAGGACGCCGCGCACACGAGAATACCGAGAGCGATCCGCATGCCCAACTCAGCGCACCAGTCTTCCAGCAGAAGCCCGTCCGCGAATACCAAGGACATACGTCGACGATCCTGGACTTGAGCTGGAGCAAGGTATGTCGAATTTATGCGAGGCATTGATGCATTAGCTGACACCTACCAGAACAACTTCCTGTTATCCTCTTCCATGGACAAAACCGTTCGACTATGGCACGTTAGCCGAGACGAGAATCTATGTACATTCAAGCATTCCGACTTTGTTCCTTCCATTCAGTTTCACCCTACGGACGACCGATTCTTCCTAGCTGGTTCGCTTGACGCCAAGTTGCGGCTATGGAGCATCCCCGACAAGAGCGTGGCGTTTTCGATCACTGTCCCAGACATGATCACATCAGTAGCGTTTACGCCCGACGGAAAGACGTGTATAGCTGGTACCCTCGGTGGACTCTGCATGTTTTACGATACTGAAGGATTGAAGTGGCAGGCGCAACTCCACGTAAAGTCGACTCGCGGTCAGAACGCGAAGGGCAGCAAGATTACTGGAATCCAAGCGACATACTGGCCTCCAGGAAGCGAGAGTGGTGAGATGAAGCTCTTGGTATCGAGCAATGATTCGAGGCTGCGCATCTACAACATGAAGGACAAGACTCTAGAGATGAAGTTCCGTGGTCACGAAAACAACTGCAGTCAAATACGAGCTACCTTTGCTGATAGCAGTGGACACATTATCTGTGGAAGCGAGGATCGGAAAACGTACATTTGGTCGACGACATCTACGGTAGAGGGCGAGAAGAGGAATCATCGTCCGGTGGAAATGTTCGAAGCTCATAATTCTATCACGACGTGTACTGTCATGGCACCCATCGAGACACGGCAGTTGCTCAGCGCATCGGAAGATCCCATCTTCGACCTCTGCAATCCACCACCGGTCACTCTAGTGTCAAAAGCTGAGTCCGTCGTTTCGTCGCGGGCGCCTACAGAGGCAGGTTCAGCCCATCCGACACCCGCACCCACAGATACCAACTTTAAGAAAGCTGCGGAAAGCCCGGCATACGTTGCTCGCTCGGCACATCGAGGCGGCAACATAATCGTTACAGCAGACTATACCGGAGCGCTGAAGGTTTTCAGACAAGATTGTGCCCACCAAAAACGCATACGGCTGAGCGAACAGTGGGACACAGCGTCCATGAAGAGAATGTCGGGTATCGGACGACCCAGCAGTATCATATCGCGGACCAGCCGATCACGGCGAGACAGTGTATCTACACAGCCACCAAACGACCGGATCATGACATGGCGACAAAGCATATCGCACGCCAGCTTCGACTCAACGAATTCCCTCCCTCGCCGCAGCGCTTCACCTCGAAAGTCGCTAGCTGCTTTGAGCTTTCACTCCACACCCCACGAATCCCCCGTCCTGCATCCTACAAAAACGAACGACACCTTCGACACCAAGCCCACGGGTACACCCAAGACATCCATATCCATGGACCGCACCACCACATCTTTACGCAGTGCATCACAATCTGAAGCCTCGTCGCCAATCAAAGAGCCGTACACTGTTACTGCTGAGCCGGAGGACGAAAAGAAGTCACAAGGGCAAAGAGCTAGTTCTACCAACCCTCTTGCTTTGTACAACGGTCAGAGCTGGCTCTTTTGGACGAATCGCGATAAGAGTGCGCTCACGGCTGGGAACAAAAAGGAAGCGGAAAGACCAGATTTGCTGGGTCGCATGAGTACGCTTAGTCAGATTAGTAGGCTGACGGATGAGAGGAGCGAGGAGGAGGGGGATGGCAAGAAGTAATGCGATGTAGGCGTTCCCGGGTATATGGGGTTTGGAGTTCTGCAGATTACAAGTCTTTCGTGCCTACTTGCGCACAGGGTTGGGTTGGAAGTGTATCGCAGCACGATGAAGTATGAATATGAGAAACGACATCCAGTTACTTTGCAAACTTGCACGAAAAGATCCGCACGTTGTAGTTCGCCAAGTGTCAGCACCAAATCCTCGTTTCCATCGTACGAACTACCACGTCACCGGATACAAGACTCAAAGGTTGCAATGGTTTATCTTTTCTGGATTTTTATATTGTTTTCTGGTATTTTCTATTTTCTGATGTTTTTGTGTGGTTCAAACATGTCACTCAAAGTCGGCCATGCTCCATAGAACCAAATCAACGACCAAAAGCTCAAACACCATAATGGCTGATCATATCCGTGTCCAGATCTGCTGTTATCGTCCGCGCTACCTCGTAAATTGCAGGATTTGACAAGCAGACTCTACGCCTGCGACGTCATTCCCACTGACATGATAAGTCATGTCGAGCGAGCGGGGAATCTAATGGATAGTGGGGATAGCAGGGATAGCAGAGAAGGCCGAGGCGAAATCAGGGACATCGGTAATGAATTCTGTACCAGTGGGCCTGACAAGCTGGCGACGATGACTGAAGAGGCGACGCCTATCGAAAGTGGCCGTCTCGTACTCGGGGTCCCAGTCTGAGAAGGTCTCCGGGGCGATGATGGGCGTGGTGAAAGAAGAAGCAGTGGCGGTGGGAGTAGTGTACGTGGTAGTCTCCATGACGGGGTCCCAGTCGCTGAATGTCTCGGGAGCGATGATGGGGTAGTCGAAGGAGGAGGAGGAAGACGGCGTTGCAAGCACGTTCTTGGCACGAGTCTTGGTCTCCAGCGTGCTGGATGCGACTGAGGTAGGTTTGTCGCTGGGCAGGCAGGCAGCGAAGTCGTCGACGATGTGGCGAATACTGAAACTGGGTTAGTACGTGTCGAGAGGGAGGTAGTGAGCAGCTTACCCGTAAGAATCAGTCTCGGAGATGTCAATCTCATCGTTACCACGTAGCTGACCGACGTTGGTAGCGAATCTGCATTTGAGTCAACGGAAGGTCACAGTAGATACAGTTCGTGGGTGAACTTACTCGATAGGCCAGTACTTGGAGAACATGGCGCAGTGCTGGACGACGGGGACGTTGTTGCGACGCTGCATGTACGTGTTGACAAAGTGGCACTGGCGGCCCGAAGCATCATTGGTCTCCTCGCAAGCGGTGATGCACCTCTGAGCATCGAATTTGCCGTCTTGCCAGTACCTCATGCCCATGTAGGTGTCCTCACCGTTGCAGTCAAGAGGGGCTTCGATGGCAGCACCGAGTGCGTACGCCTCAAGGGCATAGCCGGCAGGGACATCGGGTGTGACAACGTCCTTGACGTAGGCATTGGCGCCGGCCATGACGACATGAAAGTCCTCACGCGTCTGGCCCTCGTTGATGGCGATGTTGGGGAGGATGGTGCCTGACCACAAGTCGCACTCTGTGAAGGTGGACAGGAAGTCAGTTGATGTCTCACATACTCTTCGAAGGAAGACACGTACTGATATAAGTCGTAGACTCAGGGTTGGGGCAATGGATGCCGTGAGGAGCATGGGCGGGCTGGCGCTCGAAGAAGATGGTGAAAGCATTGCACTTGGCGTCATTGTCGCACTCGGCAGCACCTGAAAGTAATTAGTAAACTTGTTGAAGCCATGATGCACTTGTTGGTGTGATGCTCTCCAGTGCGGAGTCGTACTTACACAGGTCGACATCGTACGAGTCCATGGTCATGTAGTGGACGAACTGTGATGGTTCATCGTACGTGGTGAGGAGGTTGGAGTAAGACTGGACGTAGCCAGGGGGAGTGACGGCCGATGATGCAGCATCGGAGAAGGGAGTGTAGGCCTGGAAAGCCTCGGGGGTGTCCGGGAAGACTTTGGGGCCAGAGCCCGAGAAGAGAGGCTCGCAAACGGACTTGTTGCCGAAGTTTGCGAAGACGGTTGCCATCACCATAGTAAGAAGTCCGAAAAACTGGACTAGAGAGAACATCTTGTCTTTGATGTTCAGTTTGTTGGTAATAGATGGAGAGAGAAGAGATGAAGAACAATAGAGGAAAGAGGAGAAAGCAGTATCTATATGAATTCAGCAAGAGCTGTGCGAAGATGCTAAGACTTAGATTGTGGTTGAGGACGAAGGCAAGTATCCTCTATTGCCTTTGTTGAGCTGGGTCGTGCCCACTTCATCCATATGATACAATCGCGAAGCCTCCTTCTCGAGAACAAATTGGCGGAGCGAAGTGCCCACCTTGTGATGAACGCGCGTTCTGTTGGACTTGAACCGCCTCTCAGGAACGGGGGCTAAGCGGTAAATCGACATAAGATGGCCCAGAAGCGGCTTTGTTCTCCATATCGTGGACTGGGTTCCAGATCGTGACTATGAAGGAAGGAGATCGTGCCTTCTTCAGGCACATTGCTGTGGATATTCGCGCAATCTTCCCTTCAACAGATGGACCTTCGAACGCGTATCGAGGTCTACATGATCCAATTAACTAGGGTCAGAGTCCTTGAGACACTGCAGATCTATTGCAGTTATGTAAGAGTTCCTACTCTACTGAGCCGAGACCCAGGAATACACTGGTACGAGTGGATTGTCAGTAGTACGGCCACGCTTGGGGTGCGATCCAAGCATTGGAACGGAGCACATGCGCAACATACTCACCAACGCCTGACCTGAGCCTGAAGATCGTGATGGTTGCAGAAAGCAAGGAGGGAGCAGCTGGACGAGCGAAGGGTATTAGCTCCACTAGCCCCAGACCCGCCCGAAAACGTCATAGTCTCAACCAACCAGCGATGACCAGACCAACCAACATAGTACTCGCGAATAACAGCAACCGCCTGAGGAAATCATCACATATTTTGGTCACGTCGCCTCCTTCTATTACGAAGGTTTCCACCCCCACAACCAGAAAACTAGAGATACGCGCAATAAGGCGGTCATGGGCCGCACCGAAAAATCACAGGGTCTCGCGCCACCCGCCGTGCGCAAAGATATCCGAGCCAAACAAGCGCGGCACGTGGTGAACAAAGTAGTTCCTGCAATATTGGCATCAAATGCAAGAGCTAGGCGAGGTGCGGACGGGAGTGAGCTTATTCCGAACCCGGAGCCGAACGGCACGGTGGGGCAGGATAGTAAGAATAGGGTTGGTGCACGTGTTGAGGGTGGTGAAGATACGGGCTATGTGAAGAGGAAGGGTCAGGGGAGGCGGAAGGTCAAAGGTGGGAAAGACGATGTTGAAGAGGAGGATGCAAGGAATGGTGATGTGGGGAGAGATGCTGGCAAAGGAAGGGGAAAAGGAAGAGGCAAGAAACGCAATGATTCTCTCGACGAAGGGCTATCAAACCTCAACTTGAATAATACTGCAACATCAACGCCCGACCCATCCAGGAAGCCGCGATGTATACGCATGATAACGACAGACGCCCTCACAGCTGCACATATGCTCGCCAACCCCTCATCATACGATGCCACCGCGACCACCACATCAAAGCAGACGTCGAAGAAACAACCAAACCCATGCATTTTGAACATGGCCTCTCCCCTCCGTCCAGGCGGCGGTCTCCTGACAGGCGCCACTTCCGCCGAAGAATCCCTCTGCGCACGCACAACCCTTCTCCCATCACTTAAAGAGACGTTTTACCGCCTCCCCGAATACGGGGGCATATACACACACGATGTACTCGTTTTCCGCTCTGCTCTTCCTCTTGGCGATAGTGCCGGTGAGCTATCTCCGACTGAGCGCTGGTATGTCGACGTCATCAGCGCGGGGATGTTACGGTTTCCTGAACTAGAAGGGGAAGAAGAGGAAGAGAAGAGATTAAGCAAGAAAGATAGGGAGATTGTAGAAAGCAAGATTAAGGGTGTATTGAGGATAGCGGAACAAAAGGGGGTTAAAGCGTTAGTGCTTGGGGCCTGGGGCGTTGGAGCGTATGGGAATCCAGTAAGAGATGTTGCGGAGGCCTTCGCGAAGGTCTTAGGTTGTGTTAGCTCTCACCCTTCATCTGGAGGCAAGAAGAACAACAAGTTGCCATCGACTGGTGCTGAGACATTCCCATCTATCGAGAACATCATCTTTGCTATTCCCCAACGCAAAGTCGCCAACGACTTCGCAGCTGCGTTCGGCGGCAAGATCGAAGTCGAAGACGGCCCTGGAGCTTCTGGCGACGATAATGACGAAGAAGATGACGAGGAGGATAAGGTAGCGGAAGAGTTGAGGAGCAAGATCCAAGAGATGGACGGCCAGATAAGTAAGGTTTGGAATCCAGATCTGAAAGCAAGGCTGGGCGCTATTCTGGATGGCTTGAAAGCGCAGTTGAGGGAGAGGGAGGGGACGCCTCGGACGGGTAGTGTGGGTGATGACGAGGAAGATGAGGACGGAGACGAGGACGATGATGAGGATGAGGGAGACACTGAAGACAGCGATGAGGCAGATGAGGATGAGGATGATCAAGATGTCACTGCGCACAACCAAAGGATACCTGGCAAGAGAAGAGATACAATAGATGACAGCGATGACGATGACGAAGATTAGATGCGCCCATACGGAGCGAATTCCTCATCACCGGAGACGTACACCAGGACGTTGCTAGTAAGAATACATTGGTGGGTATCTCAAAACTTCTATATGCTCGAACTTTTATGTCTATATATAGCAGATTCCAATGCGTCAACACTCAAGCGTTCGCACTGGCGGCGTTCGGTTCTTCCGACATAGCTGTTGACTTTGAATCCTTGATGCCATTTGTGGATGTTCCACTTTTGGGCTCATCATCCTCTAAGCCCAGCTTCTTTAGGTCCACGGCCAAAGGATCAGACTCTGCTGTGCTTTCTGTAGGGCCTTCATATCCAGGTGGTGGCAATGCCCATTCAGGCAAGCCAGTCTCATAGTCCCACTTCCCTTCCTCACACCTGTATCTGCGCGCGTGCAGGTAGATACCCAACTCATGGACCCCTGGATCGCTATACAGATCTGTATCGCAGACTTTGCATTTCTCCCCAGTCATTCGCTCCGCTTTCCTCTTGTTGTAGGCATCGACCATCTCGTCGTGGTATGCGACCGCGTCGGCGACTTCCTCCTTGCCCATGCGCGAGAGGCGGGACATGATGTCTTCGTCGTCTTCGTCTTCGGATTGTCCGCGGCCGAGGGCAGGGCCGAACACGCGCTGGTTGGCGTATATGGGATCGTTCGATATGGGATGGCCGAGGAACTGGAGGTGGACGCGCAGCTGGTGAGTGCGGCCTGTTACTGGCATGCAGCGCACGATGGAGTAACCGCGGAGTTTCTTCCACGGCTGACCGTTGGGGCCTGTTTCTCCATCCTGATTCTCGCCATTGTTTCCATCGTCTTTAGGTGGGTAGTATGCCAATCGCTTGAAGACCGTCTTCGCTTCCTTGCCGTTTGCGCGCACGCGGTTCAAACCGAGCTTCGGGCTGATCTGTAAGATAGGCTTCTCGCAGAGGATCTCTCCTTCTGGGAATTCGCCTACCACTCGCGTGATGTATTCCTTCTTGACCGTCCTCCCTCTGATCTGTGCGCTCAACTCCTCTGCCGCCTGCTTGTGCTTGCCAATGAACATGATGCCGCTGGTGAGCCTGTCCAGCCGATTACACGGCAACGGGTTCCAGGTATAGCCACGATCGGCCCTCATGATCTCGATGATAGAGTTGAAGTTGTAGCGGCCGGCGGGGTGTACGGGCATGCCGGCGGGCTTGTTAATGACGATCATGTTGTCGTCTTCGTGGACGATGCCGATGGGCTGGGCGGTGCACGGAGGCTCGTGGCGGTGGAGGGTGTGGGATATGACATCGCCGTTCTTGACTATCGTCTTCGTGCTCGGCACTGGCTGGCCATTGATAACTACGCGACCCTCTTCTATGGCCTGCTTGTAGTACTCGGCGGGCCGGTCGCGGAACTCGCTAGAGAAGATGTCGAGAATTTCTCGGCCCCGCCATCTCTCCTTGCAATAGGTGTTGTATGTGAAGTGGTAGGGCGTGACCTTGCGCAGGCCATCTTCGAGGTAGTATGGGCGCGGCCAGGGATCGCAGGGCGTGATTGCGACGGCGGGCGGCTCCTTCCAGGGAAATTTGTCGTCGGGCAGGGGCGGGTATTTGTCGCGCGGGGGCGAGGGCACTAGGGCCATGGAGGGAGAGCCTGTGCGAGTCTTGGGCACAGGCAGGCGGCCCTTGGAGGCGAGGTATGCGAGAATGCGCGGAGAGGGCGCCAGAATCGCGGGGGAGAGGGGTTGAGGTGCGTGTGGGAGAAATCCATGCTGCGCAAGCCGAGGCTGATGGGTGACGCAGCCAACTAGCCCGTCGTCTCCATGTCCGAGACGCGTCTGCCTCCAACACCAACCACAAGCAGCGACGACATGGCACAGCAGGCATTGAAGTCGCGTAGACGGGGCGACTACAAGTTTCAACTCGAGTATAGGACAAGATGGTGCGTCTTCTCGCGCCGTGCCGTTCTCGATACTGACAGCAGGAAGGAGCGACAATGACATGTACCATCACATGAATAACAGCGTATATTACTATCTGTATGTCTCTTCACTCCTACAAGCGGCGCTTACTAATTATGAGCAGATTTGACTCCGTAGTCAACACATACCTCATCCAGCACTGCTCACTGCACCCACCTACCTCCGCACAGATCGGCCTCGTCGTACATTCGCACTGCGATTACCTCGCCCCTATCGAGTTTCCTGCCGTCGTAGATCTCGCATTACGAGTAAACAAGCTTGGCAAGAGTTCTGTCACATACGAGATCGGTGTCTTCGAAAGGGGTCAAGAGGAGGTCAAAGCTGTCGGCGAGTTCATCCACGTTTTCGTCGACCGCGACAGTCGCCGACCTGGAAAGGATGGCATGAGTGATCAGCTCAAGGCTGGTCTGGAGAAGCTGCTGGCGGAGAAGTCGAAGCTGTGATATATCTTGGTATCAGAGCTGCTGAGCTGTGCCTACGACAACACCCACGACCCGGCCATGTTGGCTGTGCAAACATCATGCCGACCAGAGGGCGGAGGGCTGGCGAATGCGAGGCTTCAAGCGTCGAGTGTCGCACAACACGCTTTGAGGTTACTCGACCCAGGGCTTGCTATTATGGAGAAGCGTTGGATGCTTTGGCGGCAGTGCTAGCTTCAGCGTATATGCAGCCCTCGCCATTCGGATCCGCTACACCATACAGGACCAAAGTGACATGGCATACCTCTATGCAGATGTGAACGAGGCATTGGCAAGATTGGTCACTCAATAACGGGGGAACGCTACACGAGGCACAGCGTGTATAGAAGATTACTTGTCAGGCTTGGTGCATCTACAGCATTGGCAGCATAGCGGGTACCAAGACGCATCATCTTCATCTCCAATTGCGATGGGATGCCAATGTTATCGAATAGACGCAGGCGGGGTATCGGTTAGCCATACTTCGGCAATGTATACCCGATACTCCAATGCTACTACTTGCGTTGCGTACAGTTTTCCCAGCGCTGGAAAGGCGCCGCAAGACCTACATCCCCACACCAAAAGCCAACATTTATTGACGCGTCGTATTGTCTTCCCCTTCCTCTCTGCCCAACATCCAACGGCTCAAATTCTCAGCTTCGACACCTCAAAGACGCAACACCATGTCCACATCCGTAATCCAAGGCCCCGGCATCCTCTTCGTCCGCTCCCGCATCTCGCCAACCGCCCACGACATACTCTCCGAGCCCACTTTTCTCGCCTGGTACGACAACGAGCACATTCCCGAAGTAGTCTCTACATCCGGCGTGGACTCTGCTTTCCGCTTCGTTGATATCCACAAGTCCTCACCTATTGGTAACGAGCAAAATTCAAAGCCGTTCCTTGCCTGCTACCCCATGGAAGATTTGGCTTTTACGCTGGGTGCTGAGTTTAAGAATATAGGGTTCAAGAGTAGTGCGCTGCCTGGTAGTGGTGTGATTTATGATTTGGCGGATATGGATGTTAGTTACCTGGGTATCGTGGGTAAGACACCGAAGAGAGAGGAGGGCGAAGGAGGTCGGCCGAAGTATGTGATCTCATCGGGTATCCGACCTGAGAAGCAGCCCGCAGAAGAACAAGTCACTGCGTTCTTCCAAAAGGTATGTTTCCCCTGTAAAACACCCAGTGAGCAGTTTCATGTGGGCTCAATACTGATGTCACTGCTCCAGCAAATTTCTATGCTTGAGAAGTCACCGCAGTACATGCGCACACTACGCTTCAAACTCCTCTACGCGAGGACGAATGCGCAGTCTCGTGCTCTGAAGGGCTTGCCGACGACAGATGAACCGCATCCCGAACCGTCGACGTGGATGGCTATGCATGAGTTTGCGGGTGTACCTGACGAAACCTTTGTGAAGGCGCTGAATGATGGTGTGAGCAAGGCTGCTGAAGAGGATGGTTGGGGCGAGACGGAAATCGAGACGCTTGTTTGGAAACTAGATCGTGTACATGGAGATGGGAAGTTCTTTGAGTAAGACAATGGTAGATTCGAGTTGTTTACGATAAAGTTGTTCTTGTGCGATGCAAATGATGAATGCGTTAGAGATACAAAGCAGTACGTGAAGCGCTACCAATACCCCGTATTTCCCTTCGAAACCATTTCTTCTTTTTACGGTACAGGATTGATACCACCTAATGTTCATGTCCACGCTCATGATCATGATCATGTCCATCGCCCTCCTTCTCATCCCACGGATGCCCCTCACCAACACCCTCCCAAGGATCACCCTTCCACGTCATCCAAGTCTGATGACCCCTAACATTCGCCTCCAACTCCCCACACCTCCTCTGCTCCCAACTCTCTTTACCCGCTACAACAGCCCAATGTTTCTGCGCCCTGCCCGCCCAGTACTTCGCTCGATCCTCGATTCCGAAACTACTCCACGTGTACGCTAGGATCTCTTCGTACTGGGGTAATTCGGTTAGGAGCCCTTCCTCTTCCAGGTGCTCAATGAGTTTGGGGAGCAAGCCGAGAAGCTGCGGCGAGTCTTCTGGGTCGGTGGGTAGAACGGATTTCAAGGCTTTGATCTCCGAGAGGCGGTCGTTGGATGCCATTATTGCGTCGTCGTCTGCGGTGCATAGAGGGCAGATGCAGGTGAAACCGAAGTTCGCTTCTATAGACTTCACGCGACGCCGGCGAGCACGTTTTTCGAAGCCATCTACGGAGTGATTAGATTCAAGGTTTGAGAATGTTCTCCGGCGGACAGTCACTCACAGCTTCTCGTAATCTCTTCCCCGGGCTTGATGTCTCTGAGAGCGACGACTTCAAATGAGAGGGTGTAGTCGTCGAAACGCCATAGAGTGTTCGGTCGACAAGCATGATTGATGCGCTTTATGGAAGTTAGCATATATGTAAAGGAAAGTCTATCGGCCATGACTTACTGCAACCTCGGGAATAACCGCCAAAAGCTGGGGCAGCTCGTCAACCCATGGCCACTTCACAGCAATGCCGTTCGTCACGACGATGTCTTCGACGGTGCCATCCACATTAACGTCCAATTTCTTGACCATATCTCTAGTCTTTGTCGGCAGCTGGTCGACTGCCTGCTTCAACACGAGCTGTGGCCTCGGCATCTCCGGTATTTCCAGTATCTGTTTAGCGACGAACAGCACAGGAGTCTGCACAATCAAGCTCTCGCCTGGAAAGATCCCGGCGATATCTTTCTTCGCAAATAACCCTTTGCCCTTCTCTCCCGCATATTTTACCTCCCACATACCCATCTCTTCTCCCACTTGGCCTTCCATGCCCCCAATGCCCATGCCAAACGTCTCCATGGTCACGCTAGCCGCGACCTCTGGACTCACAACAAAGCTGATTCCGCGACCGTTGTTGTAGTTGACATTGGTGTAGGCGCAGAATGTTTGCTGAGCACCTGATCCTGTGTTCTCGTTCGCTTCACTCGGTAGCATGACGTCTACGCATGTAGGGTTATGCGTCCATGGGAAGGTATCGGAAGTGTAGCCATCCTGAGCCACGGGGCAAACTGTTGCAGGCTTGTTGATAAGGCCGTCCTGAATAACGGGACTGCGTGCAGTGTAGAAAAGTTCCGCTCTGGCAGTCGATGCGCATAGAAGTGCTGTGGAGACAGCTAAATAACTGGGCAGATGCCGTCGCCGCGGCCATGTTGCTGTGACCATCTTCCAAGCTCTTTACTCTCTTTACTCTCTTTCCTCAATGATGCCGAAAAAAAAAGAAAGATCAAAGAAGCCAGACGTTAACATCTTCGACGTCGGAAGAATTAATCGCGCGAGATAGGAAGCCACGTTTCACGAGTAATCACGAGTAATGATCTTCGAAACCCCTGTTACTGAAACGTGCTGGCTGCTTGGCGGTTGCGTTGCGCCTGCATCTAGATTGTCTTGGGGATGCATGAGGCCAGTGAGGTTTGGGGCTGTTACCGTCGTTTGATGAGATAGATGATCCGGCAGAGTGGGTTGATGTGGGGAGGGCTAGCTTCAGCGCCGGGAGAGTCGGTTGAATGGCGCACGTGAGGCATGAGAACATCGCGCCTTCCTACTCTACCTAAACGAGATCCTCAGCCGACAAACCATGACTTTGTCGTATGGCATTCATGGTGTTTTGATACCCACTTCTCAGCTAATGCGATACTTGCATCATGCGGGTCGCGCTCCAACAGCGTGGTCCTGGCTTGGGCCGGCCAACCCAACGCCAGAAACGATGCCATGGAGGATCTGTCATACCGAGTAATGAGTCGGACTGCCACCGAGTACAGAGCAATCTTTAGCTTCAGCAAGCGCCTTTTAATATACGTAGCAATCAAGTTCTTGCATGAGAAACAAGACGTAGTCCTCGTTCCTGGACACAATATCTGACATATTTTGACGTGCGACAAGCATGGAAGATTGCTAGCATCACCTAAGTCAAGTAGCAAACCGGGTTCGATATAAGAACGCAGCCAAGCCGCCACTCTCCGTAAACCAGTTCACTGTACCGAATGACGATGAGCGAGATTATGACCAACCCTACAGCAAATGAAGAGCTCCGTGCTCGCCTTACTGAACTCATGAAAATCGAAACAGACATGTCGGCTCTAGAAAAGAAACAGCTAGTTAGTAAGTCGCTCCGCTAACTCCCCTATCCCTCATTTGTTGCTCTTACCACAAGGTATGGGCCGGTTGTTGAGCTTCAGCAGCGAACCTATGTTTCATCGTCGGCGCTCACCAGTACCCGACGTTCGACCCACAGACCGTGTACCTGGTGATAGGGCAGCATGTCGACCGGCCTGGGTTCTCGATGTATTACATTGATGGCCACAACAAGATCGAAGGCAAAAGAACCTTATCGAGAGAAGATGCACTGGATGGGCTACGAACTGAAGTCGAAAGGCAGGTTTTGAGTATATGCCGAAGGCATTGAAGTCTAGCATGGCACGTTTCTCGGGACCAAGTATCAAGTTATCTCTGCTCGTATAGCATCAGCTGTTGATGTGTAGCTCCCAATCGTGTCTTTCTCTGCCAGCTCTAGACAGTTTTCATCCAGCTCGGTTCCTCCTGCTCAAAAGACTTAAACCCCGGAGCGGGAATCTTATCAAACAGTCCACCCTTCAACGCAATCTTATCGCCAGCCAGTACAGACGTGATTGGGCTTTATCTAGTTAGCTAGACTTCTCCCCAATGCTACATGGGCCATCAACTCACCACCCGCAGTTGCTGCAGAATTGGCGAGTAATAGGGTTCCCGCTCTTCGTGTCGTTGTCCCGGTAGTCTTTGAGATACTTGTTCGGATCGTTGATTGTGACTTGGGGACTGTCGAGGATGTATACGATTGATCCGATGCTTCCTCCTGCGCGGCGGCAGTTGGCGCTTCTACGGTCAGTATGAAGATGCCGGTGTAGATTGTAGTGATTATGCATACCAGTAGCAGATAGCGGACTGCTCAGGCATGGAAGGCATGGAAACTTTGATGCTTCCGCAGTTGCAGCGTCCCTCGGCCATCGTGATTGAATGCGGAACGGTGCTTTCTCGGTGAATAGTGTACTGGAAGTCTTATATCCTGCAATGCTCAGAGGATTCGAAATAGGCAAACTTTGACGAGAAGATGGGAACAAAGATCTCGCAGAAAGGAGGTGCTAGTTAGTGGATTAGAGACAGAGACTGTTCGGGTCTTATGACGTGTTATCCATAGCGTGGAGTTGCGGAGTAGGCCTCGGCAAACTAAACAGGGCGAGTCGCTGCTAGTAACGCGCATCGTGAATCACTATAGCCGTCCAGGATTGTGTTATTGCTTCATTGAGTCGTTGCATCCAAAATTCGGGACGCGAAGATGACATCTTGGTTGAGGTAGGTATGCTTCCAAAAGCGAATGATCCGTGACTACCTCTCCACGTAGGTACCGGGTACTCATTGGAAGCTTGGTACCATCCCTGACGCGGACAGTTGAGGAAACCTTCTTCATTCCATGACAAGACGGAGTAAATGGCCTCTATCGACTCGATGAACCGATCGGCAATCTGATAGTGCTGTTACTGATCCGGCGCACAGGGGCTTCGTGTGTAGTCGAGTGTGTAGGCATCAATCATCCTCTCGCCCCTAGAACACACACAGTACAGCAGCTGAGGAGATATATTTCACGGATAATGTTGTAGAGAAGATCACTGAGGTGGAGTGAGGTTAAGGCATAATATGCGTAATCCTCAAAGGCATCCAAATTAGGCTAGTGCGCCATTCAGTCCTAACGCGGCGCGATTCCGCGTCTACAAACATTGACCAGCACAACACGACGGTACAACCACAGAGCGAAAAATATACTACACAACCCTTGCCCGAACCTGTAAACCCGAAGCGCAACTTCAGAATGGTAATTGAAGATCCTCTCGCCTTGGAAACTAACCCCATACTAACCCCCACAGACGCGCGACTCAACAGCAACCTACCTCCACATGCACTCGTCGCACCACGCCGACCTGCTCGAGCAATTCACCAATCTCACCTCCTCCCAACTCACCCCGGAAGACATCTACATCCCGCCGCACCTCCAACCCGTAAACCCCGAAGACGAAGACGACGTCGTCCCAGACCAACACGCCGCATTCGGCATCCAGCGAGCGACACAGACAAAGAAGGAGCCGACATGGCGGGATCTAGGTCTTGATGAACTACTGAGGAGAGGCCCTATGGTCGGCGGAAGCGGGAGTGGCAGCGGAACGGCGGTTGCGAGCGGTGGTGGGATTGTTGGGCAGGGAAGAGAGGAGCCGTTGAGGTTGGCTTTGGCCAGGCAGCCCGGTGCGAGGATGGGAGTTAGAGCGGGGAATGGGAGTGGTGAGAGTTCTGGGAGTGGGGGTAGTGGCGCGAGTGGTGCTGCTGGGAATGGATTGCCGCGATGAAGGGAGGCTACACACTGAAGGACAAGCACTGAAAATGGCGGCAAGACACATTCTTCAACTTTGCGAAACAAGTTACAGGCAGTGGGCAGGTGGTATTGGTGTCCTGACTAGAGCTGTGATATCGACATCTGAAGGCCGCTCCGACAGGGAACTTTGGCAACGGCTTCACAGCCTACTGCGATCGCCGATGAAGGCCATACGAAGTGGCACCGTTCATCACGTACCCAACACTACGGATGGCTTTATTGGGATTCACTGCGCGAGAAGGGTGGACATGAAACGAGCGTGGAAGACCAACTTATTCGCGTAGGGTCCAAGATTCGCGTTGTGTCTCTGGCTAAGGCGTGAACAATTCGCAAATGGATAGGACAAACTTCCATTCACAGGATTCAATACAGCATGATGAGATCACGGACATCATATATGGCACATTAACTGACGAAATGTGAACGATTTTCGAGAAATGCTTCACGCCATGTCTAGATGATGGTTTGATAATCAGACTCCTCTCAGCCCACCTGATACATTCGGACGCCCTCCTCTGTCCTTGTAGTATCAACGCTCACTTGCTGTGTACGCAGGCACATCAACCTACGTGCGCGCTCGCAGTACGCTTGCCATACAAACACCGCTTTGATCACGCACCACACATAGTGCCGCCAACGCATCCGACCGACACCTCCGTTGGCCTGAGGCATCTTCTCTCGAACGATTCTGCACATCAATGCCCGCGCTAGAGCCTCCCAGTTTGCGCATCGACCGCAGCCGTCTCCTACTGTGCCCTCAAGATCCCTGATACGGTCGCACACGAGCCGGTACATCTCAAAAGCATCTGTGTGCTTGGCTAGTGGTGCGTCAGGGCGCCCGAGAGACTTGAGATCGTTGAACCGAGGTTCAGCCGTTACGAGCTGGATTGGGTTGTGTCGCTTCATATAAGTAGGGTCTTTTGGTACCCCTTCCTTTCTCAACGACTGATAATGGAAGCGACGAGCAACGTTGATCATCATGATGGGCAAATCGTGGATCATGGCTGCTGCATTCCACTGGAACGGCATCGGCGCGGTAGTGGTGAGCAGTTCTCGAATCTGCAGGTTGATGATTCGAAACGTCTCCTTTGCCAGAGATGTTGGTATATGAAGGGCTAGAGAGAGGCCCTGGATGCCGACATCGTGTCGACCGTCGTCTGTGTTCTCTAGTTCATAGAGGAAGGGAATCTCAATCGGCTCGCGACACATGGGGCAAAGACATTTTTGCTTTCTTTTGAACCACACACTCAGACAAGAAAGGCAGAAGACATGTCCACATGGTGTCCGGATTGGTTCGACAATTTGTTCGAGGAAGGTCTTCCTGTATGCTCCCGGTAGTTGGCTGAGGAAGTCCAGATGTGTCTCGACGCCTGCACCGATGCTTCCATATTCTCGACCACAGACAAAGCACGTCGGCTCATCCCGTGGTGCTTCCGTGAGTGTAGAGACGGCGAGTACGCGGTCAACAACGTCTTGGTATGTGGCAGATGATGAGTCCATGTTCGGTTGAGGTCTATAGTTGTATAAACGCATTTAGACTACTGGGTAGCCCATTTATCCTCCATGGCTCTGCGTTGCCACCAACGAACAGGAGAGTTCCTGGTTGCATTGAATGATCGCAGAGGGAGTCCAGTAGCCACAGCCATTCACCTTCGAGCTATTTAGCCCAGGCGATGTGTGATGCTATGCATGTAAGCATTCAACCGGCACAGCTTTCACTTATTCGTGTATAGCTCGTATAACAGTGGTAACAGTGGGTGTACTTGGTATATAACATGTGAATGATGAGTGGAGACAAATCTGCTGCTCAGTCATCCGTCAGATCAATACACTCAACCCCCACTGGTACCTTATAAGTACTTGTTGGTTGTTTGTTTGGCATGACAGCAAACGAAGAATCACGTGGCTCGTTTGCGTCCTTGGCAGGGTCGGGAGGTGTCGTTGCGAAGTGTCGAAGCCGAGCAGCGCGTATCTCAGCTGCGGTAGGTGCAGGAGATGGTGTAACTTGATCTTCTGTATTTGGATTCGAAGGTAGCGTTGCAGACACTGGTAATAGATTAGCGCGTGGGGGAGGGCGCGACCAGTCAGGTAGGTCGACTGGTTCCCTTCCTATAAGACCTGCGTGAACACCCCTCATTGGCATGCTTGATATGCGCGATTCATTCTCCACTCGTCGGGGATTTTGAGAAGCTCTGGAGGGCACGGCCGCGCTCAGTGCTTCATCAAGCGACCAAGCAGGTACAGAGGCCCCGTGTACATCTCTGCCGGCTTCTCTCATTGCGAAGATGCTTTCGTATCTGCCACGATTTGAAGACGGTAAAGTGGAAGGCCTTTGTATTGGGGGTATCTTGGCGCCTTGATCTTGCATGCTTAGCCGCAAAGCTAACTGCAGCTCTTCGTCTTCTTCATCTGGGATATCGAATGGCAATGTGTTTGCTACACGATTTCGGAAAGGATCCGAAATGGGTGAATCGTTCTCCTGATCTGACGGCTCAGGCGAACCAAGATCGATGATGTGAGATGTCGTCGGCTGATTCAATGCAGGTTCTTGAGAGCGAGCGTTGGCTGGTAGAGAAAGCCCATCCTCATCTTCAGAGTCCGAGAGTGCAATATAATCGAAGATCTTTTGTGCTGTGGGCGTCATTTGCGTATCTTGAGACTTGGGCTTTGCAGCTGGTCCTCTGGATTTCCTGGGGGATGCACTGTATGTAGCCCGGGTAGCGGATATATCGTCTCTTTTGTTCGTACGTTTTCGCTTAGCTATGCCTGAGGCTTCGCCGTCTTCCCCAACTTCAGCTATTGGTCGCTTGCGTTTTGGCGTACGCTTTGGTGGTGCAGGGAGCGGTTCCAGTACGTCCGGCGGAAGAACTTTACGCAGCCAGTACTCGGGATATTCGCATTCGACACGATGCTCTGGGTCAAACAAGGTCTGCTTGTCTCCGTTCCAGCACCCTAAGCGCTCACCTTCGAAGTCGGCTCTGCTCAGGGTAGTGACGCCAAAGGGTGAAAAGGTAAGCTTACGTTCGAAAGTGCTCATGGTCAGTTCGTTGTCGTTCTTCTTCGCTTTTTGCTTTGTGAGCCTGATGCCGTGGACCAGTTCTTGCGATAGAGATGGATCTCTTGCTATCAGGCTTCGTGTCAGCAGCACAGGCCCAACCCAGTTCATGTATAAACGTCCCCATATGTTGAAGCGCTCGCTGGTAAGTGTAAGCAACTTCAGCTCCTGGATCGGGCGAAGATAGTCAAGGTTGAGGCGCGACTTGCTAAGTAAATCTGTGTCGCTGGTGACTTTCGGTTTGTAGTATTTCTGTAAGGTCTTGAAGTCTGGGAAGGCTGGCGGAATTTCGATAGCGCGCCCGCGAGCACTCCGCTCCAGGAACATGGCCAGCTCCACAGTCCACATGCCGCACTCCATCTGATCTCGACAGGCACAGAGCCGCCGACCGAGTCCTTGCTTGACTGCCTGCAAGGCTAGAGCCGGCCCACACTGTGGTAGACCTTTCACGTCGTAGTCCCCACCTACAAGCATAGCAAAGAGCACAAGTCCTTCTCGGTCTAGGCCATATTTCTCTTTCAGATCGTGTGC